AAACTTATTCCGCTATCGACAAAGTATAACACTTTTTCAGTAATTACATTTAAAATGTTTAAAAATTAACTCCAATACAAAATTTTGATCCCGAATAAGTTTTTACCTTTACATTTGACGAAACGTGTTGAAAAAAATTTGTACTACACAAGTTGCGAAAATAATCTTAAAAACTTACGTGTTTAATGGGCATTCCGAAATGATATAAAAGTTATAACCTTTAAGTTTTTCTGCTTTTGTTATTACGATTTGAATCTAAAAGGATGCTTACTACTTATCTAGCTTTTAATCACATGCTATAAAACAGCCGTTAGGGACGTGTGTTACAGTTGCTGACTTTAAAATAGCTACCTGCCCAGAAGCACATTGGCTTTGGCGATTTAGTCATTTGGTGTTTTCCCGACTTTTTGCGACGCGTTTTCGGTTTGTTCATAATTTTTTGCGGTACTACTGGATTAGTTTTGCAATGTGATTTTTATTTTTTTGATATTGGTGTTATTAGTGATCCAACGGATTATTGATTGGGGAGATGTCGAGTTCACATACACCAGTTGAATATGCAAATATACATTTCATGTACGGGGAATGCCAAGGTAACGCCAACGCTGCTGCCGACTTATACCGACTTATACTTAAGTCTCACTTTGATTTAGGTGCAATTTGAAATAAGTACATAATAAAAAAAGTTATCGTTGTTTAAGGTATCCCAACGGACGTTATCCGGACTATCGCGTTTTTATAAGAGTCGATAACTCCTATTGTAAAGGAAGGAGTCCTGCAATGGGTCCTGTGAAAGGTGATGATGGGAGACCACTACTACCAATGGATGTCGAAGAGGAAGTTCTTCAGGAGGTTAGAGGTGACTCTGGTGTTTCGGTTCGCCAAATTGCCAGACGAACGGGCATTAGCAGGTGTACGGTCCACAATATTCTGAAACGGCATAAGATGCACCCTTACCATGTTCAGCGAGTGCAAGCCCTGTTACCTATGGGCTGTGCGCAAAGGGTTGCATTTTGCTGGCAAATGCTTAGAAAAATGGAAAGGGATCGAACAAATTTTCAACAAAATTTTATGGACGGATAAATATTCATGCCATAAAGACGGGTACATGAACATGCGCAACCTGCATCAATGGGCGCTTGGAAATCCACATGCAATAAGAGAAACCCGTTCGCAGACACAATTTAAAATTAATCTGTGGACAGGAATAACAAATGATCAAATTATTGGACCCCATGTACTGCCCGCTACGCTAAATGGTGAAATTTATTTAGATTTTCTGGAAAATCATTTGTATCAGCTTTTAGAAGAAGTTTCATTAGGAACGAGGCCGGCCATGTGGTTACAAAACGACGGATCGCCAGCTCATTACGCTGCTCAAGTACGGCGACATTTGGACGGACGATATCCGCAACGATGGATTGGACGCTTGGTTCCCATTTTATGGCCACCTAGATCCCCGGATTTAAATCCTTTAGACTTTTTTATTGGGGCTGCTTTAAAGATTTGGTGTTTAGAACTTAAATTACCACCATCGAACAACTGCG